CCAATTTCTCGCGATATGTAATCGTCGGGTCTCTTATGAATAGGTATGCGATGTGTTGGGCCAGAGGTTGTGGGACTCCAGCGTTAATCATCTCATCGTAATACTCCTTGTTATACACAATAGGATTATCGTTATATTTAGCATTAGATTCACACAAATATGTATTAATGGGAGCGTATCGTGATTTATGAATTCTGTATTTATTATGTTTAAGTGGTTTTTCTCCCGACTCTTCAAGTGTCCGGTCGTCCATTATATTTGATAGGACTTCCCACCGACAATCCCTGTCCGATAAATATCCCCGGAAAATAGGTGTAGCGGCACTCAATGCCATCATAATGGGTGCTAACGGTGCCAACTGGTCATTCAACACCATCGCTTCATTAACATTTGTAGCCTGAAGTGTTACCTAGACACATTTAAAATTAACATTACAAACTTATACAGTACTATAATACTATACAACTAAACATTAATATTAATGACTATTAAAAGAATAATTGAATTCCTACTTGATACAATTTTAATGTATTAAATATTTAAACAACGATTCTACGATAGCATACCTGTAGACAACACATACCCATCCCAAACACGCCGGCGTCCAAATAGATGTGATCCACTTTCGCCGCTCTACTCGACTCCTTATCATTGAATATCTCAATGAAAGGGTCGGGAGTTTTGGTATCTTTAAAAATGGGAACATTGGCCACTGTTTTACGACCCCTGCGCTCAACAATATTCTGACCCGTCTTTATATACCGGGGATGACCTGTATATGTGAGTCCGTCCGATGCGAATATACTGCCGGTTGTGCTGTTCAGGGGATCGGCTCTACAGAAGGGGACACTTATGTCTTCGTTGCCTAATCTGGTGATCAATTGAGTGATTGTTTTGATTAATACTATTCAATAGACGTAACTTATACCAGTAATTGTGAGCTGACCTGGGATAATTTGTCATACAAATAAGCGCCTCATCCTCATCGAGCAGTTCATACATCTCCCGGCGCCGTAGTTTCATATTTTCCTCTACTGTATTAAACAGATTATGCATAAAATAATCGCCATTTCCTTCGTTATTGTGTCCATATGGCTGTCCCGGTGTGGCCTCAATCTGATAGCCGCCATATTCCGGTCTCCACAGCACCTGTCGATTCACACCTT